TCTGAGACCACACTGTTCCATAACAAACAGGGTTCAAGTCAGGCATGGTGGCGCACGCCTTTAATCCCAGCACTCAGAAGGCAGAGACAGGCAGATCTCTGTGAGTTTGAGGCCAGCGTGGTCTACATAGTGAGTTCCAGGCCAGCTGGAGCTACAGGGAGACCCTGTCTCAAAAAGACCGAAAAAACAAACGGAGTTTAGTCACCACTGAAGTGGAACCCAAAACAAAGAAATCAAGAAGGAAGCTCAGAGCTACTGAGGGGAGCCAGGGCTCTGTCAGCCTGTGGGAAGAGGACATAGCCAATGTGAACACAGGGTAGAGATAGCTTCTTTAAAGGCAGATCTGCAGCAGTGAGCTTCAGGGAGCAGAGATGCCCATTAGCTTGCTCAGGGCAACACTCACACTTTATGAGAGGAAGCCAGGTAATGAATGAAGAGGGCAGGCCACCAAAGGCACTGCATATGAAGATGTTTATCCAAAACATTACACCAGAATTGGAGTAAGTCTCTAGACCTATTACCAGCTTCCAGAACAACCATAGGGATGAAAGGATGGCTATACATGGCCACCAAAATGCCATCAGCAAAATCCCAAATGAAGGAGATGCTCCAGACAAACACCTCGGTGTTTCCTGCCAAAAATGGCAAGGAAAACAGATGGAGACAGCAACCTAGGCAATTAGGAGAGATGTCCGGATCTGACTCAGAGGAAGTAATGAGGAAAGGGCGCTTGGGGGCTGTGCACACGTGTACATGGGTGCACACGGATTGCAGATGTAGTTATGCATGGGCATGGGCGCAAGTACAGACTAGAAGTCAGCACCATATATGTGTCTCCCAATCACTCTCACCTTATATAAAAAATTTTAGTATCTCTTATTTCTTTGTGTTTATGCATGTGCGTGTGCGTGCGTGTGTGTGTGTGTGTGTGTGTCTGTGTGTGTGTGTGTGTCTGTGTGTCTGTGTCTGTGTACCCCACAATATAAGTGTGGCGGTCAGAGAACAACTTGATGGAGTCTGATCTGTCCCTCTACCATGTGGATCCCAGGGATCAAACTCAAGCAGCAAGTGCCTTTACCCACTGAGCTATCTCACTGATCCCCATCTTAGTCTTTGAGACACAGTCTCTCACTGAACCTGGAGCTCTGCTCTCTGATCTAGCTAGACTAGCTGAGCTTCAACTCCCAGGGGTCTGTCTGACTCTACTTCCCTGGTGCTGGGGTTATAGGCATGTGCAGTCATACTCAGCCTTTCTGTGTGGGAGCTGGGGGTCTGAACTCAGGTCCTTATGCCTGTGAGGCAAGCACTTTACTCACTGAGCCATCTCCCCTGGCCTGAGAAAAGAGTATTTAGGAGACAGTCGGGGAAATCTGAGCATCACCTGGATATTTCAGGACAAGAAGAGCTTTCTGCTGATTTGTATAGATTTAATAATGTATTGTGCTTTTTTTTTGAGGGAGGTTTTTGGGTTTGGTTTTGCTTTGTCTTCTTGTAAAAAATCTTTACCTTTTCCAGACAATTCTGCAATATTTAAGGATAAACTGATTTGGTGTCTGGCATAAACTAAGTGGAATAATGTAGAGATCCTGCCCATGCCAATAACCACTGACCTTCGGTGACAAGGTAGCAGGTCATTGTGTTCTCTCAACTCTTGTCCAGTTCAAAATTTTACGTACCAAAATTTTTTTATTAAAAAAGTAAAAGAGGGGCTGGAGAGATGGCTCAGGGGTTAAGAGTACTGGCTGCTCTTCCAGAGGACCCAGGTTCAGTTCCTAGCACCTACAAGGCAGCTAGCAACTGTCTGTAACTCCAGTTCCATGGGATCCAACAATCTCTTTTGACCTCCATGGACACTGCACAACACAGGTGCACTTACATCCATGCAGGCATTCTACTCATACACAGAAAGTAAAAATAATAAAAAATACTTTTAAAAAAGAAAAAGAGCAAGGACCATGTTATTCACACTGACTTTCACGCTGGCTCCCTAAAAGTCCTTCAACAAACCTTCACATCCCTGAGCCCCAGTTTCCTCATCCAGAACCTCAACATTTCAAATTGGGGCTCAGCTCGATCATAGTGTGACCATAGGTGGATTTCTTAACTTCTCTATGCTTTGATTTCCTTGTGGGCTTACCAGTTCCACCTAAAGCATTGTGGTGAGGACTATGTGCATTAATTTTACAATGATCCTGATAGCCAAGCACTTACCATGTTTGGTACTATTACTACGACTGCTGCTGGTGTTGCTGTTATGTGTTGTCTGGATGGAGAACAAATATGTCCTTCCCTCCTTCAGCCACCAAACTTCAGAAATGATTCCTAATTCTCGTTGATCTACATAGCACTCATTATTGCTTCCTCCTCAGAGAAGAAGCCATATTCCAGAAATGTCCATTCCCCTCCACACCCCTGCCTACCTTTTCCCTGCAGCCTCCCCCTCGCTGACTGCCAGCTGCTGCCTTCTTCCCCTTCCCCTGCTTCCAGGCCCCTCCCATCTGCCCCAGTTACCCCTAGAACATCAGTTACACAGAGTTGCCCTTCACATCCCTTCTCCTGCCCTGGCCCTTGATGCCACCTTGCACAATGCCCATAGGAATCTCAGTGAAGGCTGGTTTGAAAGCCCTGGTAAGACAGGAAATGGTGGGGTGGAGTGAAGGGAAGTCAGAAAGAACTCAGGACTATGAATACATAATGCTGGACCTTTGGAAGTGGACGGGCCTGGTGCCAGTCCTCTCTGGGGTTCTCAGATTGTATTGGGCTTACAAAAGGACCATTATGAAGGCTCCACATGTCTATGTGACAGGTTCAGAGTCACAAATGGTATGACGTCAGAGGGATCACAAGATGAATAGGTTTCCCAGCCATATCCTTATGCCAAGGGCCTTGAGACAACCCTGGAAAGAGGTATGTGGGAATGTGGAGGGCACCCAGGGAGCCCCAGGGCAGTGCCCAGCCATTCTGCAGAAGAGATTAGTTGGATGGTGCAAGAGCTGCCTATACCAGGACCAGACGAGATCCATTCCCAAAGTCTGGAATGCTCCAATCTGTCACCACATCCCCTTCCTCACTGTCTCTGGAATGTTCTAATCTGTCACTACACCCCCTTCCTCACTGTCGCATGTGTATACACAGGGCCACTCACTCAGCTTACTTGCTTGCCTTCTAGATGATTCCTGGGAAAGCAATGGTCTCTCTAGCGCTCTCGCTCTCTTTGTCTGTCTCTCTCTGTCTCTCTCTCTCTCTCTAATCTCTCTGCATTTCCTTAGGAATAGGGTGGGTTTTTTTGTTTTGTTTTTTGTTTTTTTTTGGTCTTTTTGAGACAGGGTCTCCCTGGAGCACCAGCTGGCCTTGAACTCAGAGATATCCACCTGCCTCTGTCCCGAGTGCTGGAATTAAAGGTGTGTGCCACTATGCCTGGCTGGATCATTTCTTTTCTAACAGATGGGAGAAGTCACAGCATCTGGTTAGAAAACTGTAGATAGGACAGCTGATCTCACATGCTATCTGTGTAACCTCCTAACATGTTGGAATCACATTTGCCTTTCCAAAAAGTAAGTAGTTGCAGGTAAAGACTGTTCAAAAAGTTCCTTCCAACTACAATGGGCTATTGTTCTGCTATGTGCCACAGGGAGCATGATGCTGTCTTTTCCCCAAAGCTGAGGAACACATGGCTTGACTGGGTCCCACACTCTTCCTTGGTAAATCTCAACCAGTGCATGCACAAACACACACACGCACACACATACACACACACACACACACACACACACAAACACAAGCCACAAACAGATACCTCAGGAATATCCAATTTTCCCTTGTAGCTCTGAAGGACACTTCTTTGAAAATCATTTACATATTCAAATGGAAATACACATTCATTCACATGAACAAATAGAAGAGATTATAAAATAATCAGCACAGTCTCCTTAACTGTTGGTTACAACCCAATACTCCAAAGCCCTGAAACCCCCTACATACAAGAAAAATCTTACTAAGTAGACTGATGGTCTTCCACACTTTGAGGCAATGGGAAGGAAATATTAGAATTTCAATTCATACTTATTTTATTGCATTCTTTTAAATTTCTTATTTCTTGTGTGTGTTTTATATTCCTCAAACCACGCGAATGTAACAGGATACATGTGTCATGTGTAAATATGCCTGTAATGGGGATCCAAGCCCAAAAGGACTTGGCAGAGGGGGTACACAGTCAAAACGTCCTGGAGCCTTCACTATAGATCCTCTCCCAAAGCTGGAGACAGTTATAAGGATTTAGTCTGACCACTGCCAAGGGACCAGGCATGACCCCAGGCAACTCTCCTCCAAGGTGATGCTGGCCAATGGAACCTGAGGCTCTCTAGGGTGCTGGTCACACTTGCTGCCAGTTCCTTTGGGGCTCATGGCATATGGTATCTACTTTTTCCATAGTTCCCATTGGCAAGACACCTTTTAGCTGTGAGAACATTGGTTCCCACCCAAGAAACCTACTTTCTTTTCAAAATCAGCTTGTGTTGGCCTTTAAGGCTTTTCTGCAGGAATATACATTTCACTCAACTCACTGAAGAGAGAGCTCTGGCCCTTTCTAGATCTTTTCTGTAGGACTCACTCACTGAGTCTGACAGGACACATTGGTTTTTCAATTGAGAAAACATAAGATTGATCGTTCTATCAAGGACAGAAAGGAGTAGGTGGGTAGGTGGATGGATGGATGGATAGATAGACAGATAGACAGACATAAAGAAAGAGCAAATTGGCTTTCTAGAGAACTATGAAGGAAAGGGCCCAACTCAACTCCTGAGGTAGAAGAGAACCTAGAAATGCAGCTGGAAAAGAAGAATTAGCCATCTGGAGACAGGAGGCCATCATTTGACGAGTCCATTTCATGGCAGCTGGTTACCATTTGGGATGACAGGTTGGAGTCCTATATACCCTTGAGAAAGTACACCAAGCCAGGGTTGGGGAGGAACACGTGTATGGATAGGCACTGGGCTACTCACCCACACACTGGTTGCCTTCATCCATCTGGTATCCAAAGCGACACACCAGAGGCCTTGAAATTGTAGGGTAGTTTGAAGCTGGTACTGGTGGGGCAGCTGCTGGGTATGGACCTGAGTATGCAGTTGAGTAGGGATTGGAGTAGGGCCCACGATATACGGGGTTGGTTCGGGGGATGCACAGATACCCGCCATTCTGGTTGACACACATCATGTCCCCACGGCAAGCCTCAGGGATGGTCCGGCATTCATCAATATCTGCAGAGGCCACATAAAGGACAGGTATCAGTGCCCCCTCCCAAACACAGTGGACATGTGCATATCAAAGCAGAGTCTGGTATGAAAATTGATGTAAAGGACCCCCAAACACAGTTCACCTGATTCATCACAGGCTGATGTTCCCCAACATCAGCAAAACTGACTCAAAGTGGCCAGGGTCACCAAACGTTAGCTCTTCAAGTCCTACCATCAAAAGTGTTCCCTATCCACAGAAACCTAGACTCTTGCTGATGTCACACCTTTCTTTAGAGAACACATGTGAAACCCAAGCAAACTTATCAACATGTACAGCAAATAAAATATAACCCTTGATTTACATAAAGAAAGCAACTGTAAAAATAAAGAACAGTGCTTGTGTATGCATGTAAAAACATGCCAGGTAAGTTTATGTGTACATACTATACTCTGAAAACATGAGGGCAGGCCTAAGAACGATTCCCTTTCTGTTCAGTGATAGCCTGGCAGGGGAGAAAGAGACTCCTACATCAGAAAGACAGGCTTGGCTCAGAACTAGTAACTTGCTAAGAAAGCAGAGCCTTGCTTTTAAGTCAGCTCACACTGTGCCAACGTGGAGTTCAGCTCATGCTGGAGAGAGAGCAGTGGTCTGTCTAGAAAAAGCAGTCTTTCTAGGGAGGAGTCAAAAGAGGCCCCAACTCTGGCTATAGCGGGCAGCAGACCTGGCTTCGCGCGCTGGGCCCTGCCACCAGCACTGGAGACTGGGAAGATGCCTAGGTCTGGGCAGCTCACCCACCATGTCATCTGAAAGACTCAAGCCAACTCCCCGCTTGGGAAAGGTAACTGTGGAGGTTCAGAACGTAATGGTCTGTTCTCTAGTTGAAACTGGTGCATTGGAAGAGGTCACTGCCCTCTCTGTCCTGTGGTGCATCCTTGAATCCAAGTACTTTACTGTGGATACAAGGGTGAGCCCAGGTCTCCCAAGATTTTGTTCATTCTTTCAAACCATTTATCGCTCCTCTGGTTTGCAGTTGATGTGACACCAAAAGACAAATGATTTGACCTAATCAAATGTAAGTAAAAAGGCTAACTATCTTCCCAGTGTGGGGCCAGGCAGAACAAGGGGTGGCTTTATTTTCTCCACATAACCTGTGCTCCATCTACAACACACCACAGTCAAAACTTCCTTTTCACCCCTGGTATTTGCCTATGCTGTTCCTTCCACTTGGACTGAAATTTCTCAGAATCCTATTCACCCTTCAAGACCAGTTTCAAACTTGACCTACATCCCACCTTATTGAGCCCAGGCATAAAGTATCCCTCTCTCCTCTGCTTTTACAATGACATTCCACCGACTGTCACAACATTCTCCAAGTCTGATGGTGTGCTGAGGGAATGCATGGCCTCCTCAGAGCACTTCTTCATTTCTAGAACCTGGGAATAATTAGTTAGAGGGTGGAGAGGTGTTAAGACAGCTAACACAATTCAGGTTGCCAGTCAGCTGGCTTTGAGACTGGAGAGGGTATCTCAGATTATGTACAGAGCACCCAGTATAACTGCAGGGTTTTTGGAAAATAGAAGGAGGATTGGTCAGAGATGCTACAACCGAAAAAGAAGGGACCCAGAAGTGTTGGCCCCTTTAAGGGTGGAGGACAGGGCTGCTAGCGAAGGAAACGCAACATCTAGCTGCTGGGAAGGGCCTTACCAGAAAGTCAGCAAGGAAAGGGGACCTCAAACCTACAACTGCAGGAAAGTACATCCCTCCGACCTCCCCCATGAACAAGGACACAGAGTCTTTCCTTGAGCCTCAAGAAAGAAACACAGCCCTGCCAACACTCTGATCTTAGCCTGGTAGATAGATGTTGACCTACAGGGCTCTGGGATCCTAAATGTATGCTGTTTTACCATGCTTGTGGGACCTCATGATGGCAGTCCTAGGGACAGCTTGAATCCTTCCTTGTTGAGGACAGAGATCAAATTCTCTGACCCCAGACAGTACTTAACACAAAGAAGGTGAGCAATAAGGGGTATCGTGGCTTCAGTTGTTCCCCATTGCCCTGTTCTTCCATGGGGAAGGTAGCACCAAACAACAGCTTCAGAAGAAATAGCACTGCGATTGGGCTGTCACCAAATGGCCCCACCTAGCAAGGAATCGGCATCGTCTCATACCTAAGCACTGTCCTGTCTGGCGATCCAGGTCAAAGCCATTCGTGCACTGTTGCTACAGGGAAGGAAAGAGAAGAAACAAGCCAGGTTACCTCACTTGCTTGCTTTTGGTTACTGTAAAAGCATCACAGGGCATTTGGGAAATGGAGTAAAGGAAGGAGGCAGGCATGGCAGCCATACTTGGAGCAGAGCCTCTACCTATACAATTTTTCTTAGAATCAGTTCACAATTAGTGTTATTTATTTATTTTTTGGTCTTTTTGAAACAGGGTTTCCCTATAGCCCCAGCTGGCCTGGAACTCACTATGTAGACCAGGCTGGCCTTGAACTCACAGAGATCCACCTGCTTCTGCCTCCCAAGTGCTGGGACTACAGGCATGTGCCACCACGCCTGGCTCTTTAGTGTCATTTTTAAACACCCTGCACCAGTACCTCATAACCCCCACATTCAGCACCTGTGGGCTGTTTAATGCTCCAGTTATGAGAGGTCTTGGCCACATAGGAAGCCACAATGCAACAGCCCCTTTCTGGGAGTGGGAGGAAAATTTCCAAGGACAGTGACTCTTTCTGTGCTGTCGCACCTCCCCTTCTCAGTACCCAGTGCAAACTGTTCCTTACAAAATCCTCCTCTGAGTCTCAGCTGTGTTCATGAAATAAAAGCTACATGGCAGATGTGGTCCATTTTCTATGAGAAACAGGATTGGGACATTCCTTCTTTTCAGTTTCAATACGACACACAAAAGGTACATCCTGGCAATCCCAGAGGGCTGTGATTTTTACATACAAATTGAGCTACAATTGAGTGTACTTTTTAAAGTTTAGTTTTTAAAAAATTTTATGTGTATGAATGTTTTGCCTGCATGTATATAAGTGCACTATGTGTGTGCAATGCCTGCGGAGGCCAGAAGAGAGCATCAGATACCCTGGAATGGAGTTCCAGACAGCTGTTAGCCACCATGTAGATGCTGGGAACTGAAACAAGGTCCTCTGTAGCCAGTGCTCTTAACTGCTGAGCCATCTCTACAACCCCTAGTTTAGTTTAGTTTAGTTCAGTTTAGTTTAGTTTAGTTTAGTTTGTAGTTTAGTTTGTAGTTTAGTTTAGTTTAGTTTAGTCTAGTCTAGTTTAGTTTAGTTTAGACAGAATCTATGTACCCCAGGCTGGCCTTGACTTCATGTCTTTGTTTCCCAAGTGCTGTGATTATAAGCAGTCATCACCACACCTGGCTATGAGCTTTTAAAAGGATGAAGAGGGAGCAATCCAAGGGTCGTTTTGAAGTGTGTGGAGTCCAACACAGGAATGCCCCCCTATCTAGGACTGGGGAGCTCCTGACCTGAGCTATCCCTTCATATCTTCAAGATTGGATTGGTTTGTGGAGACACTGAACTTGGACTGTGCTCCTGGTAAGGGTCTTAGAGCCTTGAGGCTAAGGACCCAGAACAGAAGAGCCAGGAGGCCATACTTTAGAATCCAGGAGAGCAGGTTCCAGCCCTGCTTCCCAGTCCAGTGCTGGAGTGGCATGGGCTCAAGCCACTGGTCTATTGGACTGCAAATCTCACTAGCGTCCCTTACCCTCTACATCACTTTCCTGTGCCTCTGTTTCTCCATCTGTAAAATGGACTGCAAGTACTTCTAAGTGGTTCCAAGGAGGAAATATTTTAATATATATTCCTAGGCTGTAATTAACACAGTCCTGTGACCCCTGGCCTTTCTGGGCCTAGATGTCTTTATCTGGGTTCCTGGAAGCTGGATTAGAAGATGCCAAGGACCCACCAAGACCTAAAATTCTGTGTTATGTTTCTCAAGTCCTTCCTGTCACCAATGACCTGAATATCTCTAATGGCCTTTGAATAGCCTTCCCTGTCATTGCCCCTCTCCCCGCAACACATGACAGGCATCAAACTCAAAAGCTATTCCCCTCCCCGCCTGTGCCTCTCAGCCCTGCTCAGAGTTGAAGCTGTATTCCTTTCTTCCCCAAGCCAGGCATACCGAAGGGCCACTCTGAGCCATCCTGAAAGACCAGCCCACATTACATTTCTCAGAGGTGACATATCTCTTCCCAGGGGACCTGGCCCAGGGTACCCCTTCCTTGGGTAGCTGAATTATCCAACACCACACACTGTGCATTAGGATGTGTTGGTGAACTCCACTTCCTCTCTCACCTCTTCTACTAGGTATTGGGTGAGTAGAGACATACACAGACCCTTGGGGCCCTTATGCAGGCATCCCAGGGGTATCATGCTCACATTTAAATTAAGACGAGTCTCCCTGAGGGACACAAATGAGGCAGCGAGATCAGATTAAAACAGTCTTGGGTTTGGAATCAGAATGCTAAGATCAATCCTTGCCACTTAGACCTGTATCACCTGGGCCAGCTGCAGCCTCCCAGTGCCTGGGCTATGATCTCTGTATATCTATCAAGGAGCACACAGGAGTGAACTGCAGACTGGCTCCCACCCCTGTAATCCTGGGATTCTGAAATGTCTGGCTAGACTCCCGCACCCTAGCTTTGTAACACAACACGCTTACCGACAATTGAAAACCTTACCTGTGCATTCCCAGGACGTGGAAGCCAGAGAGCCAGGATGATAACAGTGAGTATCCTGTGGGAGGCAAGGAACCAAGAGTGAGTGCCAAGAGATGCTCAAGTCCAGAGAAATCTAATCTCCTGTCACCCAGATGGTAACTTCGCCATGTGCTTGTCAGGGGGATAGGGCATACTCAGCAGAGCCCAAGGGGGCTTCCAGACCCCTAACCATCCCAAAGAACTGGTCTCTTCTGCTTGCTTCATGTGTTTGGGTAGTGAATTAGTTCACACATTTGAATGCAAAGGTTTAAGGCTTAGAAACAAAAAGCCAAAGATGCACAGTTGTGGCATCCATCATGCATCAACCAGCTCCGTGGTCTTTCCTCTTTTTGCAGTGAGACTGTCTGAGCCTTGAATGTCTTTATTCAGACATGACTGCAGAGCTGAGAGCCACATGCCCTCAAACCACAAAAGGTGAGGAAAGCAGGGACATGAAGCACTTTGCCTTCTGCCCAGTAACAAGGTCACAGGAAGTTGCTTAACCAGAACTTGAAGCCCTCAGTCCACACATGTAAGGACCCAGGCTTGGGTGGTCTAAGACCTCAGTGTCCATCCTACAGTGTGGTTTGTGAGAACTGCCACACCAGGATGCAGAGGACCAGGGAACCTGCACAGCCCTCAGAAAAAGAAAGGCCACAGGAAACGGCAGGAAATGATGGGACACCGTGGCTCTGCCACCCACAAGCCGGTGAACATCTCTGCCTGTGGTGACTTGGTCCTTCAATGCTGTTGTTCTGTGAGGGGAAAAGAGCTTTGGATGCTGGTCCCACAGCCAAGGGACTGTAACAGTACCAAACAAGACACTTAAAAACAGGCAAGATGGAAGACAACACAAAACCATGTGGGTAAAGAATTTTATCGTGTTAGGAATATTATTCAGTCCAATAGTTTATCTGAGCAACTACTGCTTGCAGCACAGACACTGGGCAGAAGAGCTACAAAGCTATGATCCAGTCACCATCCTCCTGAGCTGGATGGTTTGCAATATGGATCAGTAATGTCTGTGCTCTTCGGTGAGGGTGCTGACAGAAAAACTCAGTAGGTGTCATGAGAGTCAGGCAGAGGCAGGGACGGGAAAGTCAGAGACTTCACAAGGAAGTGATCTTGAATGCTTCCTCAACAGGATAATGGACCCAGGGATCTGGTTGGATCTGTAGGCTTGTTACAGTCACCATGCACCATTGCTTTATGATCCTCACCTTAGCACAACAAGTGCTCAACAGAGATTATAGAGTGCATCGGCATCCTGACACATGATGGCTCAGGTTATATAGAGGACCCAGAGTTAAGGTGGTACCCAGACAGAACCAAGCTTTGAAGTGGTGCCGGGAGATGCAAGCCCACTTCCTCCATGTAGTCCCAGAGACAATTTGAGCAGCAGCAAGTTTTCATTTCAGCTAACAGCCTTCGTGAGCCAGGTTCTCCAACACTGGAGACAGCTCTGACCTTATAAAGTGCAGAGCCAAATCCTAAGCTTTTTGATATTTGAAAGGGCCAGATTTATATCTAGTAGGAATGAAAGAACAATAACAAATTTATTTTCCAGTCTGTATATTATGAATTTCAATGTTTTCCTGTTTCTTCACATGAAGTTTCCTTTTGGGTGGTTATAAAATCCTGTCTCGTTTATGTTGGAGACAGAACAGGCTGACTGCATGCAGCAGACTTCAAGAGCGGGTGGAAAAGGCATACTAACCCCTCCTTCCTCTCCCCCTCCCCGGCTCCCTATTCCCTTTGGCTAGAGCCAGCCCAGGACCCGCCAGCCTCAAGCCCAGCCTCCTGAGAGTGCGGCTGGGTCATAGGGGCCAAATAAGTTCCAGGCTCTGGAAAGCGTTTCCAAAATGAAACAATGCCCAGCACTGCTGCTCCCACAGCCCTGCACCTTGTGAGGAAAAACCCTAGAAAACTCCAAAAAGTGAACGATGGTTAAGAGTGGAGAGGGAAGACAGTAATGTCCCAAACCCTTCCCTGGAACTTTCTAAGATCAGGTGGATCCTCCACCCTAAAAATGAAAAAGGACAGGGAAAGGACAGACCCACCCACTAGCAGGACTGTCTGTCATTGGAGAGCTGCCCCTGAAGCCAGGATGACAATATTACTTCAGCTTACAATGTTACAACTAGGTTTTTATTAGCATGCACCCCTCCCACACGCAAACTCACACCGAAAAGTTTGATTTGGGTAAGGCGGCTATGTTTGCAAGAGTCCGCCCGGTAAAGACTGCGCGGCAGAGGTCATGCGAAAAGTTCCTCAAAGCTCAAGGATTACTTGACTGGAATTGCAATTTCCGCAGAGAACAGCAGAACATTTGCTTACATGCATCTCTGTCTGCAGTCTCCCCTTTCCATTGGCTCGAAGCTTCTGGGTCCCATGCCCTCCGTGAATCCCACACAGACATAGGGCAAAACCAGCAGGAGTGTTCAGAGACCCCGGCTGCTTGTGTCGCAGTCGTCAGCTGAGCTCTAAGCAGTCTCCCAAATTTAAAAAATATGTAATATAATATTTTGTAAAGCGCGCACAAAGTCGCTGCCCCTTTTTTCCAAAAAGGCGGAATAATGCACAGAGGTGGTCTGCAGCCCCGGCTCCAGATGCTGACTCCTGGCACTGTCCTAGAAAAGTCCCCACTCCCAAATGAAGGCTTGGAGAGGGAACTTTGAGGCGCAGCTTTTTGTAATTAAGCAGACCGTTGCATCACTACCTAACGTCTTTTCCAATACCCTGCCCCAGGCGGAATCTCAGCCGCAGTCTAAGTCTCCCGCACCTTAGCACCCACCTCTTGAATCCTGGCATGTCCGAGATGCGCGGGGAGGCGAGGCGAGGGGAAAGACGGTGGCGGCGGACGCGCAGCTCTGCCGGCCTCCGGGGCGCCCTGGGCTCGCGGGTGGCTCTTACTCCGGAGGGCCGGGGCAGCGCGCCGGGGTGCTGGAGCCACTGGAGAGCCCTCACAGCCAGCACCTGGTTTCGCTTAACCCCCTTCAGTAATTCAGCATTAAACCAATTGGAGGAGGAATGTTAAAAATGAACACTTCATTTTCTAAGTATGTTAAACAATGCAAATGGGGCCTCGGTCTGGACACAGCTGGTTCAGATTACAGCGCTCACCAACTGGCTAGACTCCTCACAACAATCTCGGGGCGTCTGCCAGGGCCAAGTGCTCGGCGCTGGGAGGGGAGCCCGGGGCCGCCTGGGCTGAGCCAGGAGGAGCGCCGCGGCGGCGGGAGGCGAGGGGCGGCGAGCAGGGCTGCCCACCCCCCCAGACGGCCCTCCCCGGGGCGGAGCGAGGGGGCGTGCCCCCAGGCTGCGAGACACCCCGGCCCCCGCAGAGACCTCACAGCTGCGACGCGCAGGACTCGAACTCACCACCAACGCCGCTTCGGGGACTAGAGATCCGCGAATGGGAAACCGGAGGCTTGGGGCAAGGCCTGGGTGACTGGCGAGGCCCCCAAGCAGGGGTGGGGGGCAGAAAGGGTCCGGGAAGAAGAGAAGGAGGGAGCCCCACTAAGGCTAAGTCAAGGCTGAGGATGCACCAGTATCTCTTCTTAGCCACCCTCACCTTGGCTTTTTCTTGCTATGATTAGTCCCCCTAGGTTTGAACCTGAGTTTGCCAGATAGAAAAGTGGTCATACAAGTTCCATACAAACTCAGGCAGACAAAAACCCAGCATAGAACTGGGGAAATGAACAGCAGACCCCAATCTTAGCTAAGAAATATTGGCAACTGATTGCTGCTAGGTGAAGAAGAGCTGATCTTCCTAAAATAAGGGACTCTAGATAGGCTGACTAGACCTCAGTGGATGGACTTTAACTGTGGGAAGTCTGGGGACACTGACTTGACACAATGGGCCCTAACAAGGATGACAGCGTATATGGGTTCCAATGGGGGGCTATGGGAGGGTGTGGGTGGAGATGGGGGTATAAAGGTGGTATTAAGATTGTTTGAGATGCTCTGTATATTATACACAAAAATTCAATTAAAACGAATTAAAAAAAAAAAGATAAAAGGTGGTGTGTAAAAGACAAAAGTGGAGCTGGGTGTGGTGGCGCACACCTTTAATCCCAGGACTCGGGAGGCAGAGGCAGGAGGATCTCTGTGAGTTCAAGGCCAGCCTGGTCTACATAGTGAGTTCCAGGACAGCTGGGGCTGCAGGGAGACCCTGTCTCAAAAAGACAAAAAAAAAAAAAAAAAAAAAAAAAAAAAAAAAAAAAAAAAAAGACAAAGGTGGAAAGCCCAAGGAAGCTCAGCCCCATGCCCCATGCTGTCCTCTGTGCTGTGCCTTCCAGCTACTTTTCTTTCTCCTCCCCTCCCTTCTTCCTCTCCTCCTCTCTGTCTCCTCTCTCATCTCTTCTAGCAGTGGAACCCCTTATCAAATGAGATGGTGTCAAAGATACTATTCTACAAACATAACTGGGTCACTGCACTGTAACCCTCTTTCCTCACCTGCAGCTGCTCTTGGTTCCCTCAAAAGTTACCTACAATCCAGAAAGCACACTGAGGGGGTCCTCTCTCTGTTTCCTTGAAGGTGGAGATAAGAGAAGTTAGGCAACTTGATACTATGAGCCCGCCAAGCCCTCACTCTTAACCTTCTCTAAGGACAGTTTGTTAAGTAAGTGGAATCCCACCCAAACTTCATTACACCATAGATCAGCACTGCTGTTGGTTGTTGAAGCTGACAGTCTAAGTGTCCTGTTCCATTTACTCTGTGCATTTGAAATTTCTAAGAATAAATTATTTTTAGGTACATCTTAGTTACAAGGCCATTCATCCCTCACCTGCTCTAATAGCCAGTGATGGTAAACAACCCTAAGTCCATCAGTGAGACACCAGGGAGTTAAAGAGACTTCCAAACCTGGAAAATAAGTAAATGTAACCATAAGTGTGCGTGCTGGTCAACACTAGTTATATAAAATGCAAAGTCAGGGAGTGATGGGGAGAGAACAGGGAGACTCCTGGGTGCTGGTGATACACCGATTGTTGACCAGGGTGCTGCTTGAGAGATCAGTGTAGACAAGAGCTCGTGAGGTTGTATAACATTAAAAAAATACTGAAGAGGCACCTTATGCACTAATATTGAAGGACCGATTTCCAATGTATTTGTGGTTCAAATAGAATATAAATAGTCACATAGATCAATCTAATCTATATTCGTATAAAAAGTATGGTTATAGAAGGAAAAAGTCAATAAAAGGCCCAAGCTGAAAAGTAAGCTGTGGAACTGTGTAAATCACGCGGAGAAAAAAAGAAAGACACAGAAGTTCTTGTTCACATGTGCCCAGAAAAGATCATCTTCTGAATGATACAGGAGAAGCTGCTGTGTTGTCTTAGACAGCTCTGGTCACTGTGGCTAATTACCATGGACTGGGCAGGTGAAACCCCAGCTCTGGAGGCTGGAAGTCCAGAATCAGGAGCCAACTGGCAGGTTCTGGGGCGAGCCACTTCAGGGTTGCAAATGGAACTTCTTCCAATGGAGCCTCACCACCCGGCAGAAAGACAGAAATTGGAAAAAAGTTAAACAAAGAAGAAAGAAAAAGGAAATGGGGTCTTTTTAGGAGGGCATTATATTAGTTATTTTCTTGTTGCTGTGATAAAAAAATACTCTCACAAAGCTGGGTACGGTGGCTTAATCTCAGCACTCAGGAGGTAGAGGCAGGTAGATCCTTATGAGTTTGAGGCCAGCCTGGTCTACATAAGTGTAACCATAACTGCTAGCTGGGACTACAGGGAGATCCTGTTGCAAAAAACAAAAACCCTCTCACAAAAGCAACATAAGAGAAACAGGGTTTATTTTAGCTCACAGTTTATGGTACATCCTGATGGGGAGTCAAGTGCAGAGCCTGAGGCAGCTGGTCTCATTGCAGACAAACAGCAAAGTAGAGAGCTTATGAATATTTGCTGCTGCTTGGCTCCTGTCTCCACTTACACAGCCCAGTATCCCAGCCAGGGAAAGGTGCCACCTATGGTGGTCTTCCCACCTCAGTGAAAGTAACAAGGTAATCCCCTACAGGCATGCCCTGAGGCCCATCTCCCAAGAGATTCTAGATTTTGTCAAGTTGCCAACTGTAGTCATTGCCAGCCCTAATCCTATCCATAGTCACTCTCCCTTCATGACATAATCAACTTTCCAAAAGCCCCATCTTCTAAGAGAATCACACTGAGGGTTCGGGCTTCAGCTTGTGCATTTAGAGAACATAGACATTCAGTTTCCACACCTCTCCTAGGAAGGAAACTGGGAAGGGAGCTAAGGAAGAGATGCGACAGGAACATGTGCTCTTTTCTGCCCACCTTTGGTGGAACTTGAATTTTTAACATTATTTTCCATTCAAAATATGAAGCTGGAGAGATGGCTCAGCAGTTAAGAGCACTGGCTGCTCTTGCAGGTTCGATTCCCAGAACCCACATGGCAGCTAACAACCATCTGTAACTCCAGTTCCAGGGGATCTGATGCCCTCTTCTGACCTCTACAGGCACTGCATGACACAGGTGCACTTACACTCATGTAGGCAGTACACTTTATACATAAAATAAAATAAGATGTTTTAAAAAAAACATGAAACTAACTTAATTTACACATTTATTACATTTATGTCAAGCTGTCTGCTGGGGTAGGGAGAATTTAAAATCTTAGTCCATTTGCCTCTTGGACACCATTAACCTTTGGGAAGGACAGAGAGGAGAGGAAATCAGCAGGCCTGCTTTCTACAGAAGCAAACTGAAAACCTCGAAGCCAAAACTGTCCAGGGACCTGCCTTGAGACAGAGCTTGTAGGAGGGATAAGATGAGAGCTTCCCTAAAAGACCTGGACCTGACTTTGGGCAAGTCACTTCACCCCTCCATATCCTGGTTTTCTCCTCTGCAAAATGGAGACAGCATCTACCTCTCAGGATAGTTGTGGGGATTAAATAAAAGTTTTCCTCATGATTGTCACTGGGTACAAACTCTCACTCCAAACATGATCCCCTCCAAAACATTTCTACTAAATAATAAATTATCCACTCCCACAACAAAATCACAACCTTGCAAAATATCCAGTTTTGCCCATTGAACAGTTTAAAAATCAGTAACGCACACCTTTCATCCCAGCATGCAGGAGGCAAAGGCAGGCAGATCTCTGTGAATTCAAGGCCAGCCTGGTCTACATAACGAGTCCCAGGCCAGCTGGGGCTACAGGGAGATCCTGTCTCAAAAAGACCAAAAAGAAAAAAAAATCAGTTACAGTCAACTATGGTCCAAAAATATTAGATGGAAAATTCCAGAAATAAACAATTCATTAGTTTTAAGCTGCTTGTCAAAGTAGAGTGATGAAATCTCACCTTACCCTACTCTGTTCTACTCAGGAAATGACTCACTCATCTGTCCAGGGAATCCACACTGTATACAGTACCCTACTTGTAAGTTACTTAGATGTCTTGGTTATCAGATCCACACAGTATCAGTGCTTGTGAGAAGTAACCTTGATTTTACTTACAAATGACCCCTAAAGACAAGAAATAGTGACATTTACAATTGTATTATAGTACATTCTTTTCAAATTTTTGGTTCCACTTATTTGTGTTTGTGTGCACAAGTACAGGCATATGTCATGATGCACCATATGTGTCCCAGGTCATCAGGCTTAGCAGTGCACACCTTTATGTGCTGAGCCATCTCTCCAGCCCCTGACAGTATACTCTTATAATTCTTCTATTTTATTACTTATTGTTATTGATCTCTTGCTGCACCTAATTTACAAATTAACTATATCATAGGTATATATGTATAGAAAAAAAAATCATGGTATCTATAGGGTTAGTGCTAACTTTGGCTTCAGGCCTCTGCTGGATCCCCCAGTGTAGAAGTGGAGGTTACTTTGGTTCTTTGGGGTACTGGATATGAGACTGAGGGCTTGTGCATGCTAGGTTGGTGCTCTACCATTGAGCTACATCTGCAGCCCACATCCTACGTTCTTTCAGCTGGTCCTCAGGTATTGCATGACCCTGAGGGAAACTTGTCACTCTTCTGGCAGCTCCTTCCACCTCCTGGTTTCTACTGAAGTTGCAACAACAAAAACCAACTGTGTTCCACTGCTGCCTGGCACTCCCACCCCCACCCATCCACTCTTGGACTGCTAGTTCTTTTTAACTGTAAACACTGTTCCACATGTGTCCTTATTAAATTTTTATCTCTGAGTCAAACTCT